TGTACGTATGAGTACCTAATATCTACGTTATATTGTTTATTATTTATTTATCTTGTTGGAAAGTCATTCACTTTTAGTGTTATCTGTGCCTACACAAAACAATACCTACGTTTCAATAACAATTGCGAAATATCAGCTGTAATTCCAGATTTTTTTACGTTGTTAATGACAATTTTACACGAACTAAGTATTATTTCGTCCTTATAGGACGGGCGATCCCTATGCAGGGCCGTCTGTTGCCTTGAAGACTCCCAGGTTAGGAAACAGAACCCGTCAGGCTGTTTTTTTAGTAGATTTTTCTTTACAACCCGCTTAGACAAATTGTATCTATTGTGATTGAGTTTTGATAAATGTACCCAAACGCCAAACACACACATACACGACACAGGAGAAAATCCTAGTGTGAAATATCTTTACTTTTCAACAAAGAACTTTATGAATCCTACTAATATTATTAACTAGCTACTTCTGCGGTTTCACTCGCTCTGCTCGGCACCTATTAATCGTAGCGTGATATTTTATAGCCTATTATAGCCTTCCTCGATAAATGGGCTATCCAACACAGAAATTTTTCAAATCGGACCAGTAGTTACGGAGATTAGCGCGTTCAAACAGACAAATAAAAAAAGAAACTCATTCAGCTTTATAATATTAGTATAGATACGAAAGTTTACGTCAAGACGGATGAAGGGATCGGTATGAAATTTGGAACAGATGTACATTTACTAACACACAGACGGACGGACAATTCAATTGTTGATGTTTCAAAACTGCCTAATTCATAATACGATAGTTAACAGTAGTCAAACGAAACTTCAAAAACGATACTTTTCTATGAATTTTGTATTGGATCGCAACTTATGACGTCAACATATTTCTGCGTCAAACAGCATACTTACTTTCTTTAAGAGAAAAGGAGGAGAGGAGAAAAAATCCAAAAGTAGGTAAATTGTCAAATCAATGGATGAGAGTATGATTATTTTTTGATTATATATTGCATTGAAAAGTTGAAACAATTCATTTTAACTCGTCGAGTACCGGTTTTGTAGACACAATTATAGAACAATAGGTTGCGGTCACCGGTGACCGCTTGGTGTTTGACAGAGCTAGGAAACTAGCCAATTATTGAAATAAATGCTTTGACTTTGACTATGGTCTGGAATAATACCGGCCACTTACACCCCCCAGGACTTTTATAGGTGGTAACTTAAGTAGGTGCTTTATAAAGTCCTTTATTTTATGTTGTCCTGTAAATTATAAAGAATATTAAACTTAAAGATTACTTGCAATGAGATCTTAAAATAGGTATCACATACAAACATGTTGTTGTTAGTCGAGAGGATGTCAGCTGCAAGGACGAGCAATGACCCTTGTTTATTTACAATCCCTTTCAATATTTACATACGTAAAGCCTAAAGATACGTGCTGAGACAGGCCAGGTAATATAATTTTATACCTAGGTAGACTTTATTTATGAACTCGTGACAGCAAAGTGAAGAACTTCTTTACGTGAATATCGTAAAAGACAACTTAATAGATTAGAGGTAGATTCAGCAATCGTTCTCCTACGAGCGATTCGCCACTGGACTGCTCGTCGACAGGACAATTCATTTTTTTTTTATGGCATAAGACGGTTATCGAGCAAACAGATCTGATGGTAAGCAATCGGCGTCGCCCATGGACACCTATTAGCGCATGGCTATCAGGTGATTTCGTTTACCGGCTTATCCTTTAAAAAAAAGGAAGGTCTATCTATATTCCACCAGGGGATTAACAAACGGTTATGATATTTTTCAGTTGCCACTGCCACGTCCCGTATAGCAATCTATGGATTTATGGATCTTAAGTACTTCATCATACCTATATATTACATATATACTTACGAATCTACGACACATTAGACGCGAGCCAGTCCACCCACTGCACCATATATATAACCGTTCAGTCAATATGCCTTGTAATCATCTGTTGACTTACTACCTTAAATAAACAAAATGTTATCAACTTGAATCATAGTAAAATACCTACTAACAATCTTGTCAATAAGTTGCAATCATTATCTTGAACTAGGAGTAGGTTATAACGGCGTGATGTTTAAAATCAGTCGACGTGGCTCTGAGTTCAGTTCAAAACCTACCAACGGCAAGTACCAATGTGACTTTCTCCGAGTTATATGTACTTTCTAAGATTATTTAGACACCACTGATAAAGGCGAAAGAAATCGTGAGGAAACCTGGACTTATAATGTCTAATTATAAGTTTGAAATCGCCAACCCGCAATTAGTAAGCGTGGTGATAAATGCTCAAGCCTTCTCCGTGTGAGAAGAGGCTTTGCTCAGCAGTGGGTACTTATAGGATGTCAATGATGATGACGATTTTTAGTCAGTACCAGTCTGACGTCTGATTTCCAACTTTACTCCTCACCTACCAAGGACATGTTCAAAAAAAACACTCGTAGCCCTTCAAGAAGTCGCGGAGAACCTAACAGGTAACCGGGGCTCCGGCTCGACGTGCAGGAGAAGGAACGGGGTGGTTTTTAGTCAGTAAGAGTCTGATACTCCCTCCCGCCTCACCCAGGCGGGAGCAGTCATTCGATGATTTTCCACCCTTAAAAAAAAGCCCTTCAAGAAATATAGACTTTGGTAAACAAGATTAACTCGTCGAGTACCGGTTTTGTAGACACAATTATAGAACAATAGGTTGCGGTCACCGGTGACCGCTTGGTGTTTGACAGTTTAAATATCAAACAATTTTAAACTATATTGAGATAAAAATACAGCACGGTTTGCAATCAATGTGTTGTTGTGATCAACAGATTGTTGTTCGACGCGTCTGTGTTTTTAACACACCCACACACGTCACACATGAGAAAATGTTAGGGTAGATCGTAACAAAAAAACGAGGAATGTCAGGGGTGATTGCTAGTCATCCTGGGCTCGCTGCCATCGCAGCGGTAAGTCCCCTCTTTGAGGAGTGGCTTGAGAGACGCTACGGCGTCCTCACCTACCGACTGACGCAGGTCCTCATCGGACATGGCAGTTTCGGGAGGTACCTGTGTCTGATGGGGCGGGAGGAAACGCCCGGGTGTCATCACTGCGAGGACCGCCCTGAGGACACGGTAGAACACACTGTAGCGGAATGCCCTGCGTGGGCTGAGCACCGCCGTGTCCTCAGGGAAGTGATCGGCGATGGATTTTTAGTCAGTACCAGTCTGACGTCTGATTTCCAACTTTACTCCTCACCTACCTAGGGCATGTTCGAAAAAAACACTCGTAGCCCTTGAAGAAGTCGCGGAGAACCTAACGGGTAACCGGGGCTCCGGCTCGACGTGCAGGAGAAGGAACGGGGTGGTTTTTAGTCAGTAAGAGTCTGACACTCCCTCCCGCCTCACCCAGGCGGGAGCAGTCATTCGATGATTTTACCCCCTTAAAAAAAAAAAGTCATCCTGCTATTTAACTTTAAGCATATCGTAAGGTTGTTTGTGTGAGTAGGTATACTGCGTAGGGTTGTCATGATTTTGTAAGAAAAATTTAAATTTATTGTAGACAAAAATTATATTGCATTTTTTTTAAAAAACGTTGTCTTACACTTGGATTTTCTCCTGTGTCGTGGGTGCGTTTACAAACATACAAGTTCACATACACATGACACCCAGACCCGGAACAACAATCACACAGTACAGACAGGAAACTGTCATTGTCTTTGAGTCTCTCACTTTGTAAAAATAGTTTTTTTTCTTATGAATTCTAAACGACTATGGTAGATCACTACTTTGTATATAATCATAACATCACGCCTTTTATCCCCGAAGGGGTAGGCAGAGGCGCACATTACGGTACATAATGCCACTGTACAATGTAACGCCTACTTTTCACTATTTATGTTATGAGTCCCATGCTAATAGGGGGTGAGCCTATTGCCATATACCGGGCACAATTCCAGACACCGTGCTACTACTGAGATTTATTTTTAAAAACCCAGTAACACTTTGCTCGATCCTGGAATCGAACCCGAGAAGCCGAGCCCCCTTGTCCGGCAGTCGCACTTGTGACCACTCGGCCAACGAGGCAGTCTTTTGAAACTGATGGTACTTTTGAAACGTCAACAAATACGAAATAAATATCTATCAGTTAATCCGTCAGTGAAGCTAGGTGAAGCTAGGTGCTCATTCCAAAATGTAGATTCGAATGGAGAAGAACGAGAAAGAAACTCCATTCGTTACTCTTTAAAAAAAAATGTATGATATTGAACATCTGTTTCAAACTTTTTACCGCAATTGGGCAGACGCGTAGGAGTCCCAAGTTAAAAACGTTTTAAAAGGCTCCAGGTTTATCAAAGAACGTTGCTGCCTTGGCCTTAGTCTGTTCAATATTCAACAGCAGCAGTCCCTTAGGTTTCCGCGCACGCCTCAGACAGCCATCAGACCACCATAGATGGGGCCCAGTAGGGCTGATGCCCGATACGGAGCCGCGGAAGACCTAACGGGTTGCCGGGGCTCCGGCTCGAAAAGCAGGAGTAGGAACGGGGTGGTTTTTAGTCAATCTGACACTTCCTCTTGCCAACCCAAGGCGGGAGAAGTCCTAGGATGATTTTCCCCATTAAAAAAACCAGTCCCTTACGATATCCGCTAGATGAGTAGGGATGGTGACACTTGTATATTCAACCCACAGATTCTACCTCATCTGCTGTCAGGCAAACGGCAATGTCTGTTGATTTAATACAATCTTTTGTTGGCTTTGACGAAGTCTTCGAATGAAATGTTTATAAAAATTTACCATGCACAATTTTTTTATAATTTGTATAGTAACGTAAATTTAGAATATTTTTTGATTAATAATCTTTATTTAGCATCTATATTTTTTAAACCTCATTGCATTCTAAAAATGTTTTTACTGATTAGTGACGACCCTGCAAGGGCCGCACACGCACGCATAAGTTGTCGAGTAGACTAGTGGTGTTAGAAACATTATTTTTACAAAACTTGTCAGTTACAGCCTTGCGCCTGGACTGAGCGGTCGTGTCGAAAATTAAACAAATAATTTTATTATAAAAAAGCTTTATTTTTAAAGAGTAAACTGTGTGATTTAAGGAAGGAGTTTATCAATTTCTAAGGTGCGTAAATGTCAAAGATTTATGTTACTTTTTTTTGTCTATGTTGAAGATGAGATGCGTTTTTTTTTAGTTTTTTTTAATTCACCCCTACGGGTAGTCGCTAAACCAGTTCTTTTTTTTATGAAAACACGTAGTCAAATTCATGTTTTTTTTTGTTATAAAGTTAATTATAAAATACGAAGCGTCCTGTTTAGGGTTATTTATACACTTTGTAATAGTCAAATACCTTCACTAAAGGATCGACAGACATTTATATGTAGGTATTTATTTTACATTTAAAATTGTCCTTTATGATCTGATTGAAATAACTGTCTTGACTTTGTTAGCAATTGGACATTTAATTGCTTTCTTCAACACGAGTACGTACATTACAATCATGTAGTTTTATCTAAACCTGTTTATTTTCAAATACCTACCTACTTACCTATTATAAGTGTAGTTTAAATATACATTTATTTTATTTTGTAATTTAACTTACATAAGGATCTAAATAATATTAGTATTAACTATTACTAAATGAAAATATATACAACTTAAAGTATAAATAACAATGAACTAAAATATTTACACCTTAAAAAAAATGCCTTCATATAAAAAAACATAATCCTACTTATATTATAAAACCGAAAGTTTCTATGTTTATTGGTTTACTAGCTTTTACCCGCGGCTTCGCTCGCGTCACAAAAGGATAAAAAGCCAATGTGACATATACCAATACACACAGCGCTATCTATACCAATTGTTTTGTTTTCCCTCGGGAATATCAAATTTTTCCAGGGTAAAAAGTACCCTATTATTTAATCCAGACTTCTAACTAAGTATACATCTGCAAAGCGATCGGTTTAGTAGTTATGGCGTGAAAGCGGAACAAACAAACTCACTTTCCGATTTATAATATTAGTAAGGATAGTAAGGATAGTAAGGATAAGGAAGTAAGGATTTGCCACTCAATCACGTAGTTACAGCATAAAGTCCACTGCGGGTAACCTAACATTCGACAAACTTATATTTGTTTGGTGCGGGTAGCCGCACAATTAAGTTTATTTTTTGTGTATCTTTATATATATAATTCTGCTATAGGTACGTGTGTATGAAACTCATTGAGCTCCTCCTAAACGGCTTGACCGATTTCCATCGACTCCTGGATCACAAGAGGCGTTACAAGTGCGTTACCGGTCTTTTGGGATTATGAACTTGAGGATTGTTGGGGATTCCGGGATTATGGAGAGAAGCAATTAGGCGTCCGGTAACCTCACACGGCAAAACACAACGCAAGTCTTGTTTGACATCGGTTTTCTGCTCGGCCGTGGTATCACTCCGGTCGAGCCGGCCCATTCGTACCGAAGCATGGCTCTCCCACACTAATTACATAATTAAGTGCCCACTTATGATTGAGTATTTTACTATTTGCTTATGAGTTTCCTAATGGTTTCAGATGAGTGCTACAATAGATGTACCCAAGTTGAAGATGCTGGATGATCGGGAGATGCCTGCCATCGCACTCGGCACCTACTTGGGATTTGATAAGGTAAGAGCATAGGCATACCTACTCCTTGTCGCGGATAATCTAACGGGTCACCGGGGCTCCGGCTCGAGTTGCAGGAGAAGGAACGGGGTGGTTCTTAGTCAGTAAGAGTCTGACACTCCCTCCCGCCTCACCCAGGCGGGAACAGTCATTCGATGATTTTCACCCCTAAAAAAAAAATACGTAATCCTTTTTAAAAAGCGGACCAAGCACTTGTGACTCCTTTAGTGTTGCGAGTGGCGATAATTGCTTACCATCAGGTGATCCGTCTGCTCGTATAAGACTATTTCTAAGAAAAATTAAAAAAGAAGCTGCTTTGTTTGTGTTGGTCGAGGAAGTTCTACTGCCGATAAAGGGGTCCTAAGTACGATTTGAGGGTCTGGTTTTTTTTCAGCAATGACGTGGAATCTGGACCTGGTTTTTATGGGTACTTACATGAGCAGACGGATCACCTGATGGTAAGCAATCGGCGTTATTGGCCTTTTGGGAATTAGGAATTTAAGGATTGTTCGGGATTCAGGGATTGGGAAGATTGAGGAAGAGCGGGGGGAGGAGGTAATTCGGGGTAAGTGGTAAATGAAAATAGGCTTTCCTCCTAAATACATAATGGAACTTTAAAACAACTCAACTAAAACTCGTGAAGACTGAGTCGAAAATCGAATCTAAGTCTGCTTTCTGGTGACAATCACACAGTAAATTAATCTATGATCCTTTTTTTCTTCTTTCTAGGGCGGTGCAGTCACATCCAAAGACAAGCAACTTCGCAATGTAGTGATGGAGGCCATAGACCTCGGATACAGACACTTCGACACTGCTGCCATCTACAACACGGAGGGTGAAGTGGGAGAGGCCATCAGATTGAAGATTGACGAGGGAGTGATCAAGAGGGAAGATGTGTTTCTTACTACTAAGGTGAGAGAGATGCAAAGAAAGAAATAATGAAACAAAAAACATTAATTATTCAGCAATGCACTGCACAAAGATGCCATTTTTTATTGTTTTAGCCATTATCAAAATTAGTTTAGAGCTGATTTCTCTACAATGTATAAAATTAAATAATAGGTACTTTTATTAGGTACCTAATTTGATTAACAAAACTCCGGCCTATCTAGCTCCATTTTATTGCACGATTATTTAGCATTTTGTAAAGAAAAATCGAATAATATTTTACTCAATACGTTCACTGAACTGCTGAGCGGCTAGTCTATTATCACTTCACTAGAAAAACCGGGCCGATTATATAGTTTGACTAGTTGTTGCCCGCGACTGCGTCCGCGTCGAATATGAATTTTAGGACATAAACTTTTTGGTTTCAAAGTCAATAAAATTAATCCATTTTACTCCTTGGTACATTAACTAGGTACCTTCCAATAAAAGTTCCGTCAAAATCGATCCAGCCATTTCAGAGATTAGTTAGTACAAACAGACAAAAATTGTAGAAAAAAATGTTACTATTGGTATGTGTGTCGTATGTAATGTATATTCATATGCGTCTACATGCGTTTTACGACAATTTTTTTTAAATATTTTAATAATAAAAAGATTTTAATATTATAAACAGATACTCCAATTTTATTTATCTGTACCTACAGATAAATAAAAAAATTTAGAGACATTAAGCTTCGTTTCGTATATATTTTGTCATAATACGTCCATGTTAGATCTACGTAACTAATGTTTCAATATCTTCTCAGCTATGGAACACCCACCACAAACGCGAGCAGGTAGCTGTCGCCATGAAGGAGACCCTCAACAAGACCGGGCTGGACTACGTGGACCTGTTCCTTATGCATTGGCCTATCGCACTCAATGTGAGTATCAGCTCGAAGGTCGGGAGATTATCAGATCTTATTCATATTAAAAAGTGCGAAATTCTGTTAGTTTGTGTCCCTATGTTTGTTACATAAACATAACATACCATATCCCATATCCCCGAAGGGGTAGGCAGAGGTGCACGTTACGCCACTGAACAATGTAACACTCACTTTTCACTATTTATGCTATGAGTCTCATGTAATAGGGGGTGAGCTTATTGCCATATACCGGGCACAATTCCAGACTCCGTGCTACTACTACTGAGATTTTTTTAAAACCTACTGGCTTTTGCCCGAACCGGGAATCGAACCCGAGGCCCCTTGCCCGGCAGTCGCACTTGCGACCACTCGGCCAACGAGGCAGTTTGTTATACAATCACGTAAAAACGGCTGAAGGGATCGAGATGAACTTTGGAACAGTCTGGTTGGTCTAGCTAGAATAACACATGGGTTTTTTTATACCTCTAATATGGGAACGTGGGCTGGTAGAAACGCTAGCTTCGTCATTTATTAATCCACTAGAATAATAAATAGGTTAGTGGGTGAAGCAACCCAACGTTTGTCCATTCGGATATATTAAGCTTCGCATCAAGCTTCCTTCTCCGTACTGCTAAGGAGTGGAATTCTTGGCAAAGTCTGTATTTCCTGAAGGGTATAACTAACCTCGGTGACGTGCTCCATCGTAGACCGCATCACTTACCACCAGGCGAGATAGTGGACAAACGTCGGCCCAACAAATATATAAAAAGGAGAGAAGATGTATCTATATCTGTAGCTTTTACTTTTTGTTAAGTTATCTTATTAGTTCAATTGTAAGGGAGGGCAAACCAAATTGTGAGTGCAGTTCTATAGTATGTGATATTACTTAGAATTGGCGATGTTAAAACTCTTAATAATACTTTGCCCTCTCCGAAAAAAATACCTTTGGATGTACTCGGTCGGTAGACTACAATAAAAAAAAACTATGTGAATATGTAAAACCTCGATTTATGAAAATATTTTATGTAGAATGAGGCGAACTAAACCTAGAGAGTGCCTTAGGTAAGCACTTCATAGGTATTCCTAATTTTTTTAGGCGTCGTCGCCTCAACTCGTTTGTCTGTTGGGCGCTCGCGTCTTTCGGAATCGCGGTGTACCTCTGTTATCTATCGCCCTAGGCAGGTGCCTAATTTTATTTAGGGATAATAAGGCTCTGAAATAGTTGATTAATTGACTACAATATCTTTTTTCAGGAAGACTACAGTCACTCCAATACGGATTACTTGGAGACCTGGCGCGCCATGGAAGAGATGGTCAAGCTTGGATACACCAAGTCTATTGGTTTGTCCAACTTCAATAAGCTGCAAGTCGCGACAGTCCTCCAGGAATGCACCATTAAACCTGTCGCTTTGCAAATTGAGGTAGGTTGTACTTATTAAGATTACACCACTAACAAACAGTAAATGAAAACGTCGCCGTCTCGTGAGGAAACCCGGCCTCATAATTTAAATTATACGCAAGAAATCACTGATCCATTTTAAAAAAGCGTGCTGACTGGTGATTAATAGATACTAAAACCTTCTCCGTATGAGAAGAGTTCATTTCTGTGTACCCCAGCAGTGCCGAAGAATGGCTCAAACTTAAACACAGTTAGGTACTCAAGTCAACGTACTGTCCGCAGGTTCATCCTCAAATTATTCAAGAAGACCTGATCAGCTACGCCAAAGATGAAGGCATCATTGTCATGGGCTATAGTCCTTTCGGTTCCCTAGTCAAGAGATTTGGTATGGACTTTCCTGGGCCCAAAATGGATGACCCGGTTCTCACGTCTTTGGCCCAGAAATACGAGAAGACTCCTGCCCAAATTGTGTTACGTTGGTTGGTGAGTTGAGGCAATTTTTAACATGCTTTTTACTGGTGGGCTTCATAAAAACAAATATTCATTTATTTGACCTAAAAGAAGAAAGAATAAATTTGTCGTAATTCGAAGCTGTCAAATAATAAAGTTAAATGTAAATTGTAAGTATCCTGTTTAATAATTTATTTTTCACTTTCAGGTCGACAGGAACGTAGTTCCGATTCCAAAAACCGTTAGTCCAAAGAGACTGTTGGAAAACATCAACATTTTCGATTTCAAGTTGAAAGAAGAAGAAATCGAGAAGATTAATCAATTCAATTCTAATACTCGATACACACTGCCTTCATTCTGGCAGACGCACCCCTTTTATCCATTTGATATAGTCCCAGACCCCATCCCTGATCCTTTTAGGTCTCAAATTAAGTCTTAAATTGAAGCCAAGATTGAAACCTGCTGTTTTTGATGATAAAAAATTAGTATCGAGTAATAGTAATGATCTCTATTTGATCAACTTTTTTTATCTGTTGTGCATGTCACAGATTAAATATTAGCGCGCAATTTTAAAAGCAATCACAATCACAATTGTTATTGAGTTTTATTGATTTAAAGGAGATCAAATTCAAGACTGTATTTTAGATGTAAGATTTTAATAAAGGTGAAATTAATAAATATTAATTTGAGTCCTTTGCGATATTTTTAAGTAATTACAAAAAATATTATCATCATCATTTATCTGTGAGTAAAAATGTATATTTATAAGATTTATTTTTTAATAAAAATATGTAAAATCAATCAATAACGATGTGTCTTATTTAAAATTCAAAAACTTTAAATTTGGAACCTAGTTTAAAATTATGAAATACTATTTCATAATTTTAAAATAAACTAAAACTGAAATAGTGAATCATCATTCTACTATTAGTTCGTCTCTCATCTTTCTAAAAAAGCTTATCCCATCTAGGCATAGTATTAGCTACATTATTTATTTATTTATTTATTTTATTTTCAGCCATGATCGTCCCACTGCAGGGCAAAGGCCTCCCTACCCTCCTTCCACTCCTCTCTATGTAAAGCTTTTTGCTACATAAAATACTAAAATGGAACAAATTTTTACGTGTTTACGTACCTACTGAAATCACTGTAGCATTCGTCAAAACAGTTTTGGATACTATGATTCATATAGGTACCTAATACACGACACTCCCTACTAATTTGAAGTAAAATCTTGAATTGTATACATAGAATTGATTGATCGTAGGTAGATAATCCCCTATTCTCTTTGATATAGGTACATAGGATGTGCCGTACTCTAGAGTCTAGAATTCTAGATAGCCCTACAATATCTAACCTGTGGTATATTAAAGAAGTCACAATAAAAGGTCTTTCAATATCATACAGCTACTAAACGAAAATATCATTATTGTTTATCATACGAATCAATACGTTCAGTAAGTGGAATTTCGAAATTATTTACATTACCTGATATTTTTAGATTAGAAAGAGATATTGAGATATGTTTTTACTATAAGTGCAAGTGACTGATGTAGAACATTGGATAATTTGGTTTAAGATATCGATATTTCCAAAGCATAAACCTGAACATTTTTTATGTTACACTTTGAACTTTATGGATTCTCGGGGCTGGAACGCACATAATGTTACCACGTAAGGAAATTTTCCCGAAATTTGGTAATATCGATATAATGTCAGTGTAAACATTTATTTCTTTTGAAGTTAATTATGTTCAGTAAACAAATACATTTTTAAAATATTAGTACTTATAGGATAAAAATTTTGAAAATAATGATCATATTAATCAAAGTCACCACACAGTCATTCCATGTTAAAAGGAATTAATCATAAATTAATTTAAAAAAAATGATACGCTGTATCCTTTCACTCCTCATTGTCGCTTTTACATGGAGAATATCCAGAATTCGTAGTCCATAAGTTAAGCACATTTGTTAGAATGTACTGAATATATGAAGGGTTCTTATTAGTTCAGTTTTAATGAATTATGACTTTCACATTTTTTATTTAAATATTATTTACCTTAAAAAATGCATGCTTAATATTATCATAATAATAAATTCACACTGAGTACACACCAAAGTTATTTCTGGCATGTCAATAAAACAACAAAGTGGAAAAATTACGTCAGTCTGGTAACCCAGCGGTGCAGCTGATGAAGGACGTCTTTAGTTCGTCGGTCTGCGAAAAATCAAATAGAATTTTCCTCCATATTTGTTTTGTGGTGCACTTTGCACAAATAATTGTTTAAATAAAGTGTTGTAAACCATACATTGTGGCTAAGGTAACGCCTTACCCGAGCATGAGTTATTCCGGAAGGAATAAATTCGAGGTAAGCAATAATCGATATTAAATGACAATGTTTGTGTTTTCATTGTGATAAAAACAGCTGACATGGGCGCTACGGGCCCATTTCTTTGTTCTTGAGGCCCTTTATCACATGTACAGGGAATACGGCTTTAATGTAAACCTAAAATATTATGAAATATCGATTTAAAGCCGAGTCCGCGATCGTATCCGATATATTTATTTATTGCTTTTTGTGTGTAGAGTAATCGTAAGAAGACTTCTTTATCGCGTCGCGTCGTGATTATTATTTGTATGTTTTTATAGTTTAATCACACGCGGTACTCGGTATTCATGTTTTTCTTTGTTAGGTCAGTGTAAATGACCTCAGCCGCGCGGCCACTCAACTCATGAATTGCTTATACACCACCGTTATAATGATTGTTTAGTTAATTTTAAAACGTATTTTTAATGAAACGCGTATTTACAGGATTTATACATGTGCACCTTTGCCTGTCAGAGAGAAATGGCGAACGTGTCCATAAATTATCTGTTTTATTTTTAATTGTAGCGGGAAAATAAATACGTTTGTGTAAAAATAAAAAATTACGATATGTACGCGACGCGCAGTAAAATTTTTGTTTTTGTTTGCTAATGACGCCGCGACGCCGACTCGTAAAATGTTGTTTATCAGATAACGTATTATCAAGTCACATTGTCTACCATGCTTGTTGATTTCATTTAGTTTAAAGCACCACTATCATTAGGGCCCATTATTTTCGAATTAATTTATTTACTCAACACATCGTAGACCGCATTATCGCTTACCACCAGGCGAGATAGTGGTCAAACGGCGGCCCATCAAAAAAAAAAAAACATTGCACATGCTTAAAACATGTCAGCCTATAAATACCCACTGCTGAGCAAAGCCTCTTCTCACACGGAGAAGGTTTGAGCATTAATCACCATGCATGCTCAATGCGGGATGGCAATTACAAACTTATAATTAGAAATTATAAGCCCAAGTTAACTGAAAGATAATCTTAGGAAATACATATTATAATTCGGGAAAGTCACATTGGTACTTGCCGTGGGTGGGGGTTCCGAACCTCCGAACCCGCACCCACATGCATAAGAAGTTATTGTTATATAAGGCGGCTTAAACCTCCAGGCCACCATGACAAGAAAAATGTGCTCCAAGCAAAGGCTAAAAGTCTTGTTTTTGAAAATGAATATTTATTGATTAATCAAAAACATAGTGCCCATATTGGGCTTTAAATGTGGTAAGAAGTCGACTCATGTAAGTTGAGGATAATAAGCGACTAGTCTTGGTCAGTGACGTTTAGTCATTGTGTTTGTGCCTAAAGGGTTAAATTAAAATACCTATAAAATTAAAACACCTATTATAAATAAATAATTTCCTGAACTTAGGTATTCCTTAATATTACAAATTTTTTTCATTACCTAACTGACGGACTAATTAGATTATTAATTTTCATACCCTGTCATCCTTCCTGTTGTATCCTACTAATATTATAAATGCGAAAGTGTGTATATTTGTTCTTTCACGTCAAAACAGCTGAAGCGATTGAGATGAAATTTGGAACAGGGGTAGATTATGGTCTGGAATAACACATAGGCCACTGTTTACCCCACAGGAATGCGAGTGCACCCACTTACAGAAGATAGTTATAAATATAACCCCCTATTACATGGGATTCATTCATAACATAACTGGTAAAAGTCAGTGTTACATTGTATTATGTTTGTATTACATTGTATTGCACTGCAAACTCCTTGAAGTAACAACAGGGCTGACTTTATGTTCATTATCACTATCATATCAGCCACAAGACATCCACTGCTGAACTTAAAATGAAAATGAAAATGAAAATATTTATTTGTAAACATAGGTACAATGGGATGTTACATTTCATGGTATAATATTGACCATCTATGTTTTGTGATATGTCACATACAAATTAGGTTAAACATTTAAGTATTTAATTTAATAACGTCATTAATATTAATTTTATTCGAATAAATTATTACAATAGTCACGAATGTATATAAAAATAAAGATAATGTCCTTGATGAAAATTTTAAATATTAATCATTAGCGGACTTAGACCTCCCCTAATGACTTCCAATGGCGTCTAGCGCCTCCTTGCGACTTTAAATCAGGGTTGTCTGTCTACCATGTAGAACTACAACATTGTCTTCAGTAAATTGATACAAATGTATAGCTCTATATTTAACTCAAAAAGGGTTTATGAGCGTAATTATTTACCAGGGACTGAATAACCGAAAAATTACGATACCTTTAAATTGCGGTATGACGTCATACCGTTAAATAACGGTTACCGCTTAATTTCGGTATCGAAATTTAATTTCGGTACCGCTATTTTTGGGTATGAAATGAAAACCGGTATATTTCGGTACCAGTATCCTAACCTGAATAATAAAGGTATGAGAGAGATATTGACCGCGCTAGATCATCTATCCTATTTCATCGCATTGCATTAGTTTGGCTTGTTCTCTGGACACAATCACATGCGGCTCGCGTTATAATATTTTATGGTGTGCTGAGTTGAATTGAGATAACAATTATTAACAATGTCAAATAACGCACGAAAACTTATAATAACAGAAATAAGTAAGTATATGTACTTATTACTACTTATGTAATCTGATAATAACATACTTCTAGTTGACACGTAACGAGTACTAAGTACTAGTATCTTACCTACTCGTTGTCGACGCGTACGGCACGCGGCGGCGATCTAACGCCAGTAGACACGCTCACACACAGACGCTGCGTGCGTACTATTTTATTACACTTTTTATGTTATTACACTATAGCTCATTACTATAGTTTATTATAACGTAGTGTGTTATAATATTTTTTTTACCTTATAGGTATATATTTTCACGACATTTTTGTCAAAAATTGGTTAAATGCCTAAAGTTTTTTTATTTCTACCTCGTCGGGCGCGGATTTCCAGAATTCTTGTTTTGATTCAAAGGGTATACTCCCGAGATGGTCCTTTTCATTGAGGTCAGGATCTGATAATAGAAGCCTAGGAAAACCGAGGAGAACTTTCGAAAATTGTAGGGGCGTGTAATATGTGTATTGTTATTCAATTAGGATTTTTAAACTCTACCCCAGGAGGGTACCAGCTCCGCTGGAGAATCCCTCCCTGAGCATGATTGCTCAGGCAGCCCCGTCGTATCTTGGCAAATTCCCAACGGCGACGTGCTCTGCCACACGTCACGTTTTGTCTCCCCGTGAGTAGGCAGAAAGCGGGCTGAGGATTGCCTTTTTGCTACACTGAATGTGTGTGGAGGCGTAGAAGGCAAGATGTTAGAAATATGTGAGATGATGAATACAAGAAAGATTGATTTGTTAGGGATGAGCGAGACGAAAAGAAAGGGTTGTATGACTACCACACATGGCCAATATATTGCTTACTGGTCTGGTGTTGCAAGTTCCCAGAGAGGCAGCCAGGGCGTGGGGGTCATACTATCTGAAAGGATGAATGAATGTGTGAAAGAGTATAAATGTGTGAGTCCCAGGATACTTTAGATCCGCCTTAAAATTGGCTTGACCAAATTATTTGTCGTCTGTGCTTATGCCCCGGACATCTCAAAGCCAATTGGGGTGAGGGAAGTATTCTGGGATAACTTGAGAGATGTTCTTAATGAATGTAAAGAGAATGAAAGAATAATTATGCTTGGAGATTTTAATGGATGGGTTGGAGTGGCACGCGATGGGTACGATAGAGTATTAGGGCGATTTGGAGACGAACGAGTGAACGAGAATGGTGTATGTCTTCTGGATATATGTGTAGAAAAGGAACTTTTTGTGACCAACACAACATTTGGTCACAAGAAGATACATATGTATACATGGCAGAGGCATACAGAAAGAAGTACGATTGATTTTGTGATTGTTGATGAACGCCTGAGGACAAAACTGAAGGATACAAGGGTTTACCGTGGCACGAATGTCGGAAGCGACCACTTCCTAGTAATTACTAGAATAGCTGGACTGGCAATGAAGTGGAGACATCGGCCACGGGTAAGGTTGCTTGGAACCGAGAGAGTGAGAGTTGAACGGTTGAGAGAAGAGGCAGCTAGGGACCAGTACAGGAAACTATTAAATGAAAGGTTTAGGGAGCTAATGAAAGGTTACGAAAGGAATATAGAAGAATTTTGGAAGGAATTTAAGGATGGAGTGATCGCAGTAGCTACTCAAGTATGTGGGGTAAGCAAGAAAAATAACACTGGAAGCAAGAGGAATGAATGGTGGGATGATGAAGTAAAAGAGGTGATAGAGCAAAAGAAGAAAGCATGGCTCGACTTATTAGCCTCAAAGGCAAATAGAAGAGTGCTAGAAAGTATGATAGAAAAGTACATTAGTCTCAAAAAGAGAGCAAAAGCGGTAGTTAACAAGAAGAAAAATGAATGCAAGGAAAAGTTTGAAAGGAATTTTTCGCGGAACTTTCGAGCCAACGCTAAACTATTCTGGCATTTAGTTAGAAAGGCCAGAGGCAAAGTGGGGGACTCGAAAGTAAGTACGATAAGGGATATAAATGAGTGTCATTGAAGAAAGTAAGGATGTTTTAAAGCAGTGGAAGGAATACTTCGAGAATTTATTTGAAAGGAGTGATTTGAAAGAAGAGGAAGTAAACGATGAAAATGAAAGTGCTAATGTGGGAGAAATAAATATGGATGAAATTGTGAGTGCCATTAAGAGTTTGAAAGTAGGTAAAGCAGCGGGATGTGATAGGATAACTACTGAAATGCTAACAGAGGGTGGAGGTGTAATTGCAAGCCTGGTGTATCTAATTTTTAATAAGTATTGGCGGTGCGGTCGTGTCCCTGGAGTCTGGGCCAAGGCCGTAATTGTGCCACTGTATAAAGGAAAAGGATCACAGCAGGAGTGCAAAAATTATCGCGGTATAAGCCTCCTAAGCGTAGTAGGAAAGTTGTATGCCAAGGTATTGATCGAAAGAGTGATGGATGTAACTGAGCGTAAAATCT